CTCCAGCTCTGCTTCCCAAACCTGGTGGGGGCTGACTGGGCTGGCAGTGGACGCAGATACACAGAACTGGAGAGCAGAGGCGGCTTGCAGGAGCCTGGAGCCCCCTTCCCAGAACGCTCTGGGTCTCTGAGGCAGGTCTGGCTCCCGGGCTCCAAGGGTCTGGCTAGGTTTGTTAAATTCGCCGTTTCAGTTCCAGGCAACTGTTGAATGAGCCCTCAGAGTCTGGCTCTTCCCTGGCCTTAACCCTGCTCCCTTTGCCCTCAGATGGGCTGGCCCTCTCCAGTACAGGAGAAAAAGGGAAACCTACCAAAGCCCTCCGGAAAAGAGGAAGGTACAGCTTGCGGGGTGGTTTGAGTGAGGAGTGGGGAAGAAGGCTTGGCCAAGGGCTGAAAATGAGGAACGCTGGCCAGGCAGGACCTACCTGGAGGTCACTCCCTCTGCTGGCACCAGTGGAAAGAGGATCCAGAACAGGTGGGGGCTTTCCAGCCCAAGCTCACCCCTTTCCTGGGAAGGAAGGTGGGGGGGGTAGGCAAGGTCATGAGCACGCAGTGCCTCACTGCTCCAACAACACCCCATGGGCCAGACTCAGTTTCTCCCCTAGGGTGATAAAGCATATTGGATTTTGTGGGCTGCCCCACCTTGCACTGGGAGGTCTGGGGGCACAGCCACCTAGCATGGGCCTGGGCAGGGAACCACTACCCCAGCCTTCTTCAGGAGACTTCTGTGTCTTTGCAGACTCAGAGCCTGATCCCCACAGTTGCTTCTTCCTGCCCCTGACCCCCTTTCCCACCCATGTGGGTACCTCACAAAATGGGAAAGCGATCCACAGCAAGCTTATTTCAGGGCCGTGGGAAGCCCTTTGTTTTAACCAATGAGACCCTGGTTTCTGACCAGGAAGAGGTTAAGGCAGTAGATTTTCCAGCCTGTCTGTCCACCTTCAGTTAAGGGGGGTGGGGGGCACTGGATGCTGGTCAAGGTGTGATGGAAGGCAGATGAAGTAGGGCCCCGGGGAGGGTGCAGGCAGAGGACGGCCTGGGGAGGGTGTGGCTGCCGCGGGGTCCCAAGGCTTGAGTCCTGGGGGCGGGGCAGAACTTGAGGTCCACCACGCCTGGGAACCCTTTGTGCGCCCACCACAGGGTGTGGCCTCTTTCCCCAGCAACAATGACTCACAAAGCCAGCCCGTGCCGGGCACATGCCGCCTCCTCCGGACCCTGGAAGGCCCAGGTCACAAAGGCCATTAGGGCCAAGCCCTGAAGAGGCATGTCCCAAGACAGCTCTGCGCAGCGCTCACCCCTGCAGGCGTCCGCGGGGCCGGGCCTGGGCCACCCGCCGCCACCCCCGCCTGGCGACTGGGCGTTACAGCTCACGCGGAGCGCCCCGTAGCCTCGACGCCCATGTGTGTCGTCTGCTTCGTGAAGGCGCTGGTGCACGTGTTCAAGATCTACCTGACCGCCAACTACACCTACAACTTCCGCGGCTGGCCTGTGGACTTCCGCTGGGATGAGGTGCGCGCCGCCGGCGGGGGTGGCAGCGGCCACCGCGCGCTCACGTGCG